TATTTATTCTGCTAATTCCAGTGGGTGAAAACTAGTACTTCTTTGTTTTAGTTTGTACTTTTCTGATTATCAGCACCCTCTTTTCTATTATTGTTCTTATCCACTGGAAAATCATGCTCACTATAATTAAATATTCTTTGATCAAGTGGATTTTGATCAAGTGGATTTTCAATCACTGATATACATTCACCATCTTCTCAGCTTCAATTCATCCTTCCATCTTTCTTTTAACTAGGTTTATTTTTAAGTAAAGAAGGCATAGTCTTCATTATTTAAAAAAAGTAAATTGTGAGGATTTATCCCCAAATTACTTTTAATTATCTTTATTGAGAATATATCAATTCTGTGGGTATAACAACAGGCCACGACTCTCTCTTGATTCAACATTTAGTAAATTTTCTTGATAAAGCTAAATTAAAAATCATACAATAAATATTATACTGAAATTAAAAGTCCTGCAAGGAAATTGCATGAGAGATTGACCATTCCTGAAATTTCTTTAGTAACAATATTCTTAAAATACCTTGGCCCTAAGGCTAAATCAATGACTGTCAGGTGAGAAGATGATAAACATACTATTCCAGCCCTAATTCCAGAAGGGTGGCACTCTCCTTTACCATCACAACAGCTCTGCTCTCTTCCGGTAAACCTAGCAATCAGAAATGACACTTCACTGAGGAAAGGAGACAAAATCGCACAGGAAAAATGTCACCCTTCTGCTTATATTCTGTAATCCAATAAAAGGGACACATGTGAAAGTCCTACTGATTCACTTTCCTAATTACTAAAAGTTTTATCCTATGAATGACTACAACCCCAGCACCTTATGCAATGAGTTACAATGCTAATACCCTTATTCTGCTTATACTCTCTGACTTCAAAATATATTTTATGTGAGGAGTGGCTGAATATATACTTTCAAGTTGGGAGGGAGTTAGGGGGCAAAATACATTTGAGAAAGTAGTCAGAAAAGATCAACAACACTTGGAAAACATTCAGGTGGCAGACTATTTTGAAACGGAGGCTTTGCAAAAGTACATTATTAGGCAGCTATTTAAACAGTCTATGGACTTAGTGGTTAGCTACATCTAGCTTGCTCTGTCCTTTGTGAGATGATGGTGGAGGACAGGGAAGGAGGAATCAGACATCTGAAAGTTTAAACAACTGCAAAGCATATAATTTGTGCTAGACTACAATATCAACATTTTAACATTGCTGCTGTTGTTATTATCCAAATGTTCCTTATAAAGCATCTATTCTTGTTTCATGAATAAAAAACCCTTTTATATCTGAGGAAACTGGTAGAAGAGTGGTATCTCTTCTCCTTGCACTGTGTTGGTTTATTCCCACTTGCCTCTTTAACTCCCGTTTGTTTTGGTCTCTGTCATTGGCATCTGACACTTTACCTCTGATATTTGATGATCCAGAGATAATTTGTCTTACTCAGACTGAGTGAAAGTTCAAAAAACTGTCTGAAAGGTTTGAGCATATGGAGGGGCTTCTTGTTTTTGAACTTCTCTGTACAGTGATCTAAGTGGAATCCCTGATGTCACTACCTGTGGGTCTTTTCTCTTGGCTGATAAGATTCCTCAGAGAAGACTCTCCCAATCTCTTGCCTGAACAGAAAGGTCTGGCTGCCAGCATTCTGGGAATCTTTGAAAACAGAGTGCTGGGGAACTCTCTATTCATCCTTCCAGAAACAGTCACTCAATCCCTGTTTTCGATAAAAACATCCATGCCCATGTCCCCAGTCCAGATGTAACTGATTTTCCTCTCTTCAGAGAATATAAAAGTCTACAGTAGGGCAGAGGTGGGGCGGTCACTCAGCGCCCAGAGCAGAGGACGGGATTTAGAGAAGATTTTCAGATATGCTTTTTCCCTGATGTACCTCCCCTCTTCTGAAGACGCCCGGTACTGCCAATTCCCGAGACTTTAGAGCAATCTGTCCTATCAATCAGGTTAGCTTTTATTTCCCCATTGCCAACTAAGGATTTAGCTTTTTTTTTTTTTTTTTTTTAGGTGTTTTAAGTCCATTACCACTTCTTCATCTGCTTTCTGGCTTTCAAAATGTTGTTACTGTTTCCTTCCACTGTTATCTCTGTCCTTATATATTCATGCTTAAAAAAATTCCTTGATTGTAGTTTTTAGTGGAGTTTCACAACACAGCAAAAATCTGTCACCTTAACTTAACCACATCTGCCAAAGCTGTTAGAAATGAAAGATGTGTTAATACATTTAACCAGTTGCATGTTATTGTCTTATAAAGAGAAAAAACAGGAACTATATCTTCTTTGGTTGATTGAAAGCTGGTAATAAACTTTTTCTAGAAGGCTTAAAATTTACAATTTACTTTTTTTAACTTAAAAAAATATTTATTTTGAAGAGAGAGAGAATCCCAAGCAAGCTTTGGGCTGTCAGCCCCAATATGGAACTCGATCCCACGACCCTGGGATTGTGACCTAATCCAAAATCAAGAGTCGGATGCTTAACCAAATGAGCTACCTAGGCACCTCTAAAATTTACAATTAATACTTTTTTAGCTATTAAAATCTAAAATAAACTGACAGGATGATCTGAATTCATAACTAGGTACACTCATTATATAGTCAGAGTTACCTAAAAATATAACTGAAGTGTTTCAGAGTAGACAGATGTAAAGGTTTACGCTTAGAGAACCCAAACTGTAAAGTGATGGGATCATACCGTGCCTCTTCACGGACTATTCCCCAGACTACAGAACTATTCCAACTTGATAATGGTCTCTCTATTGTCACTTCTTGCCTTTATCAATAGTGGCATTTCACTGCCCCATCACTGTTTTTTTAATGTTTATTTATTTATTCTGAGAGAGAGTGTGTATGTGAAAGAGAGTGTGTGCATGTACGCACACAAGTTGGGGAGGGATAGAGAGGGACAGAGAGAATCCAAGCAGGCTCTGCACCATCAGCACAGAACCTGATGCGGGGCTCAAACTCACAAACCATGAGACTTTGACCTGAGCTGAAACCAAGAATCGGATGCCTAACTGACTGAGCCACTCAGGTGCCCTACCCATCACTGTTTCTGAAAACAATTTTTAGTAGTATTCTTTGCTGCCTCTGTTTATAGCAAAAGCATTTCCCCTTCGTTATTCTTTTATTACTCTTTGACCATTTTCCCTTTCCTTGACACGTTTTGATATGCTTTTCTCTCTTCCAAAAGGTAAACCAGCAATAACATGCAGTTATGTGTAATCATTCTTTCATTTTGTGTGTGTGTGTGTGTATGTAACATATATATAGTGAGTACTTATCATAGGCCAGGCCCTGTTCTAGGCATTAGGGATAAAACAATGAACAAAATAAAGCCCCTCATCTCATACAGCTTATATTCTAGTGGGGGTTTCAGACAAAACAATTATGTCCTATACAGCTGGGTCTCAAAAACAAAAGGATAGGGATATAAAAAGTGACATCAATGGGGTAGGAATGTTAGTTATATAATATGATGAGTGAGAGAAGGCTTCTTGTAAAAGGTAACATTTGAACAGAGATCTAAGGTAGAAGCTCTACGGAAATTTGTGGAATGAGTATCCCAAAGAGAAAAATAACCAGTACAATGGCCGAGGGAACATGCTTGGCTTGAAGAAACAGCAAAGAGGCTAGGCTGGTGGGATGGAAGCAGAATAAGCTTTGTTTTCTTATCAATGTTTACTGTTTTTGCCACAGTTTACTCTTTCCAGGAGTTTAATACACCTTTCAGATTTGAACAGATTCAGATTCTAACTTATATGAAAGGCTGACATTGTTTTAAGTCTAGTGGATAAGTGGGAATGTTACTGAAGAGGTAATCATTTGCTGCCATAAGCATTCTGGCTGAACACAGTAAACATGTAAACAATCGAAATTATAGATACATTGCTTCGTTTTGAGACAGAGAGGGTGACAGTTCAGTGGGAAGGCTTAAGAGTCCGATCTGTTTTTCAGTCCTGGTCCTATGCTTATGCTCTAAGTGACCTTGAGTCAGAGCTCTAGGTATTAGTACTCATATACGCGTTTACTCTCTTATTCTAATTTTAAAATGTAAAAGTAGCATAGTGAATATGGGGAAAGAATAATGGCTTGAGAGTCAGATTCTGAGTCAAACACCTTTGCTGCTGTTTGTTAAATGTGAAGCTATAAACATCACTTAAAAGCCTGAGTTTCCTGACCATTAAAAGCAAATAAAAATATCTACTTTATAGCATTATAAAGATTAAACGACATAATAAAAGCCATTTGTATACTATAAAATATAAGATACATATTTTTAAACTACCCATAGGGCTTTTAAACTTGTATTTTCCTAACTTAAAATTTTTCATCTAAGTACCTTCAAAATTTATTATTAAGCTTTACCTTTTGATATCTCTCTTCATTTGTACTTAAAAGAGCTGCATGCAGCTGGTTCACTATTTTGATCAATGATAAATTCTATTCAAGCAACATTTTATCTTTTAAATTACACAGCAAAATTCAATGGATATGAACAACCCAACTTGGAAACCTTAAAAAAGTATCAGAATGCAGATTTTCATTTTATTTTATTTCACTCAGGTGACCATTTTGTAATAAAAAATATGGATACATAGAGAAAATAATTTGGAAGGATAACTTAATCATTTTGTGTACTTCAGTAACTGTTAATGACATTTTTGTAGAGTTTGTTTTATTTACTTTTTTGGCCTATTCTGTTTTCTTAACCTTCAACACTAAATCACTGCATGCTAAACATAAGTTTGCAGTCACGCATTTGTTATCAAATATTTGATACATGTTTTTGAAGACTATACTAAAGATATACTAGAGAGATATTTTATTTCTTAAGATTGTATCATATCTTTAGCCATTAGTGAAAAGTGTCCAAATGTGACTAGACAGTAATTTAAAAAGCAACGCAAAAGAAAATTAGCTAAAACCTTTAAAATACCATCAGTGGTCTCCAAAAATAATTTACAAAAGACTTAACAGAATGGAACTTACTCCATGCCCTGCGCAGTCTGCCGTGCAATATCTATAAGCTTGATCATCTCGAATTTCGTCTCGATGATGTGGAGGTGGTGATACAAACTGGAGCCCTCACACCACTGGGTGACAATAGCCAGCTGGGGCTTTGTTGAATAGCCCATGAAGAGCAGGATGTTCACATGCCGAGTTTTCCTGTAAAAGGAAGTATGTCAGTAAATAGTATATTATGTGGATAAACTTCAAGTCTTAAAAAAGTGGGCCAAAGTAGTCTAATTATCAGGAAGATGAAGTTAGAAAAAAGACAACGGAAGGATAAATTTAGAAATTATTTTAGGAATTGTCTGGCCTAATATTCTACCGCTTGCAGAAAGATCTTACGTTTTAATACCCCCCACAATAGGCAACTGGAGGTTGCTTAAATACCTTCAATTGTGCGAAGCTCTTCACTTAGACTGCAGGTTATTTTCCCCCTTACCTCTCCTTTTTAAGTGGTTCTAGTATTAAAAAGTTCTTTGGGGTTGAGAAAAATAATTTCCCTACAACTTCCACCAATGGCTTGTTCTGCTCTCTGGAATAAAACAAAGTCTGTACCTTCTTGAACCTATTAGCCTTCTGTGGACTCAAATATCCTCAGTTCTATTGACTGTTTTCCCCTTGTTACAGTTTCAGAATCCTCCTCATCCAAGTTGGCCTTGCCTGGATATACTCTAGTTAATGTTCCTCAAGTTCCAGGGCTTGACACAATCTTTAAATGTGTTCTAAGTTCAGAATTTTGAGAGTATTATTTCCATAAGTGGAAAGGATTTTTTCATGATCAGAATATTGTATTTCCATTAATTCACCTTAGGATTAATTTTTCCATCAGTTATACCATATAATATTGTACACCACTTAAAGGATATGGTTAAAGACATAATATACTCAAACTTTGTCTTATTCATCTTTTGTAAACTTGTAAAGCCAACAGTGGCTATCACCGGAAAACAGAAGATAAAGATAACTTCTTTGGAAAACAGTAAATCACACAGGCTCACCTGAGTACTCCTACTTCATTTTTGAAGGCCTGTAACTGCTGAGGTGTGGGTGCTGTCACATTCAACATTTTCACTGCCACATCACCTAAAAAAAATTGTCATTCCAATTTTTTAAACTTAAAAATAAAAAAAAAAATAACCTCCTGGGCATTTTCACTAATTACCATGGCCTTAAATCCATACCATTATTAAACTGCAAATAAATGAGATCTTAAGTTCCTAAAATGTATTAGTTTTCTAAGGATAAAAACTAAACGAACAATGACACTCCTACACTAGTATTTCAAAATACCAACCCCTGAAAATAGCCAATGTTGTATTTCCCCTGGAAATGTAGTTTAACCAAATAAGTACTCATGGTATTCTCCTGATTAATTAACAATATTAAACCAAATGCTTTTATTAACTGAATGTTCAAACTATCGATGACAGGCCCAGTGAAAGTTGGCTGGAACAGAAAACTGTAGAACTTCTTTATCAGAGTAGTTAACATGGTTTTCAAATCCATGGATCACTTGCTTTTGCTCAGGAAGATTAAACAAATAATTTTATGTGAAACAGGTAGAACTTTTACACATGGCCAGTGGGTGTGTAAAATGGTGCAAGAACTTGAAACACTTTTGGCAGCATCTACTAAAACTGAATGTATGTATATCTAGTGGTCCCACAATTCTTTCCTAGGTATACACCCAGCAAAAATGGAACATATGTTCTCTAAACAACATGTACTAAGAATATTCACAGCAGCAGCATTCGTAAGAGCCCCAAAGTGGACACCATTCAAATGTTCATCACATAGTAGAGATTGAAAAAGAAATCATGTTAGAGTCACACAGTGAATACTATATAGAGAATGAATGACCTACAAGTACACACATTAATACAGAAGAATCTTGCACTTTTTTTGCAGGTTTATTGTTGTTTGATATAATTATTGATTCTTCCTGATTATCAAGGTAATACACTGCTCAAAGTGGAAAACATTTTGAAAACATAAAGAAAAAAAGTAAAATCTTCTGTCACTCAGAAATGATCATTGTTAACATACTGATATATAACCTTATTTGTCTTTTATATGTATGCAGTGTGAATATTTATGAATATATATGAAAAAAATTACCTAAAAAGATATATACTAAAATGCTGATGGTCATTTTAAAAGTTTATGTTATATATATATTTCTAGGCAGTACCATAGTACAGGATATTATACATGCTGCTTTGTAAAATTTAATACACCACACTTTTCTGTGTCAATATAGATCTACGATACTATTTCATGTCTGTACAATCATGTACAAACGTTATCAATTTATCTAGTCTTCTGCTATTGAACATGTAACTTTTTTCCACTTTCTCATTAATATTAAGTCTCTAATGAATATATGTGCACACACATCTGTTTGTTTCTGTCCAATGAGTTGTAGTTCTACAAATGGAATTGTTGGCTCAACATACATATTGACAAACTGCCCCCTGGATAATCTGTAGCAATTTATTCTCCTGCCAGCAGTGTTACAATCACAGCTCTCTAAACATGGTCAATTAAAACAACAACAACAACAATCTGTCTGCTTGAGAGGCAAATAATGATTTCTAGTTTCTGAATCTGTAATTCTTTGTGAACTAGTGAGGCTAAACATTTTTATATGCTCCCTGGCTATGTCTTCCGTTGGTAAGTACACTTTTAATGTTTACCCGTGGTCTGCAGTCTATAATACAAATAAACTTATGAGCAAAAAGACTTCTAAAGAAAAAAGAAATCTTGGGGCACAGCTTGCCCTGGGAATTGTCATCTTTAAAAATTATTACATTTCCCATAATGTTTGTTAACCCTTTCTTTGGAGGACTCTTGAATCTGATCAAAACAGCTTAGTGATTCAAACAGTACATATTCCCTTTGATTTTTTAAAATCACAGCTGTGAGACGTATCCTACTAGAACTTGTATGTCACTGTATTACATACGTACCATGCCATTTTCCCTTGTAGACTGTCCCAAATGACCCAGATCCAATTCTCTGTCCCACTGTGATCTGGCCGTCAGGAATCTCCCAATCATCACTTGAATCCCTTCTGCCAAGTGTTTTCTTCATATAAATAGTGCAAAAGTCAAGCCAAAGCAAACAAAAAAGGAAGAAAGCAAAAATCAGTGTGGGAATGCTTCAAGCAAAACACTATCAGCTCTAAGTTACTTCATCAGGGAATTCTGTGTCACATACTGACATTATCATACATCACTATGTATCATATTATCTAAAAGGCGACATATTTAGCTAGACTTGTAAAACAAAAGAGCTCAGAGGACAGAAGATATCATATACTCTCACCATTCGATTCCTATCTTCTGAAGATGAAGATGATTTCCTTTCCCGCTGAGGCCCTGGAGATTTCTGTAATGCTTTCACATTAGTGAGCGAGCCCGGCAATGAGGCAGGGGGGGTGGCAGACAAGCCTGTGGTTGATCCTAAATTGGTGAAATGAAAAATGTATCTATTAAAGGAAGATCGAGTATGTTAATTTACCGAGGGCAGAGGGTGGGGAGAGATTTACACTTCTTTTCAAAATTCAATGGAGGTTTAAAGACACATCTTTTGGAAATGATAGGACAAAAAAGGGCCTCATTTGGTGATTGGCACTGTAATTTATCTTAGTTTTCTGACCAATTTACTGACTTTTAAAACATCTGATTTCAGGGGTGCCTGGGTGGCTCAGTCGGTTAAGCATCCGATTTCGGCTCAGGTCATGATCTCACGGTTCGTGGGTTTGAGCCCCGCGTCGGGCTCTGTGCTGACAGCTAGCTCAGAGTCTGAAGCCTGCTTCAGATTCTGTACCTCCCCCTCTCTCTGACCCTCCCCAGTTCATGCGCTCTCTCTCTCAGAAATAAATAAAACATTAAAAAAAATAAACAAAACACCTGATTTCAGATGCTTTGCTTATTGGTGTAGAGTCTGGAAGAAAAATAATCTTTCTAAAATAAGAGAACAATACTAAAACAATACTCCCAAGTTTTTGTTTCTTTGATTTAAAAAAGTAATATCAATTTAAAAGCTTATATAAAAAATAAACGTGGAACTATTTTATGTTACCTCAACAGCCAATCAATATAAATTCAGATGGAAACTCCCAAACGGAAACATATAATAATGTCCGTAATGTTAAAAATATCTGGCTCTGTGATATTAGTCACTAAAACCTTAAAAATCCTATACTATCTAAGAGTTAGAAATATTGCTCAGTTCAGTGGTTCCTGGACTCCTAGTCTACCACGCAGAGATGACTTGTTACCTGCCTAACAAAGTGTACATAGACAAAGCCAAGCAGGTTTCTCATGACTTTCTGAAAAATCTCTACAGGTATAAAGTGAGAGAAAAGTAAGTGCCAAGCTATGGCCTCTTGGCAAAGCTGCTACAAATGGAAATATTCTAGGAGTCAAGTGAGTCCAGTGGATACACTGAAAGACTCGGTAGGCAGGGTTGCATACTTTTCCAAACGCCAACTGAATGCAAATCCTAGAATCATTTAGCTGGTTTAGAGGGGTTCAGGGCAATGACTTCTAGTAAGGGCTGAATATAGCTAAGTAGAGCTGAGATGTCCAGTAATATTTGCAGATATGGAACAAAAAGACCTCCAGAGAATTTTTTCTTTTAAAAGATTACTATTTGGTGGCAGGGAGAAGAGCAATGTCTACATTTAAATGTTCAAACTGTATAGAATTCTATCAATACCACATATGTCATCATGGAGAATGTACCTGATCTAATATGCAATTTTCTAAAAGGAAATGGGGTCTGGGATGCCTGTAACTAGAGCATAATCCATTTTCTACCTTCCACTGGTAATTATCAACATCATAAAGCTTTAACTGCTTGCTCAGGCCTCATAATTCTGATCTACTCAATCATGTACCATATTATTTATTTCAATGACTCTACTCGGTGCTGTAGGAATTCTAGCCCAGCCTATGGATGTCATGAGAAACAGCTGGGCTGAGACAGCAACAATCTGAACCACCACCACTACTTTTAGAGTAAGTAACAGACATTAGCAAAAGCCATTAAGTAGAATTTTTTAAAACTACCTGTTTGAATTTTGACTTAAATCTTTAAGAAATCAGTTTTTAACTATGAAATAGTAGTGACATACTGCTATAGTGCTCCCCTTGTAGTAGGGTGTAAGTGAGGGCTTAGAGGACAGAGGTAGCAATCCTCAAATTTTCTGAAGTATGCTAAAAGTACCCCAAATATATTAAAAACCTTTTTTTAGGGCTTCCTACCTTTGATATAAAATGTACATGTCCTACATTTAAAAAAGAACACTGCTATTATAGAAAACTAAAGCCAAAAGTCTAGCAAAATCTCCTAATTAGGGTGTCCATTTTCACTTTATTAAAAACCACAAAAACGATCACATATATTAATAGTCATGAAGGCTATTACCTAAATGGATTAAAATAAAAATAACTCAGATTGAGGGACACCCCCCAATACATTATTTATTGCCACCCATTGAGTTTAAGAAGTTATCAAGACCAAAAAGTAAGTAACAGAATAAAAAACAAGATGGACATCTCAGCTTAGAATTTTCTTGCTTTTAAACATTTATGACAGACAGCATACAAAAAGCTTGTGGTAGTGAGATGTGTGAGAAGCACATTCAGAGCATTTCAGCCAGGCCAAGCAGAAATTTAGTACTAAAAACTCTCACACTTACAAACACACGCTGTGAGAGTGAGGCACAAACAGTATTTATAGTTTATATTGAATTTGCTTTGGGTGAAAACAAGAAAGAAGAGCCCAACTACCTCTGAACACTGGGCCAGGCTCAAAATCAAACACTATTTCACTGGGGACAGAATGTAGGAGGGGACTGGGAGTCCGGGATTGGTATTTCCGAAGACCACGCATCAGCTGGCTCAAAGGGGCTGTTAGAAGAGAAAGAGAGGGGCAGGCAAACACAGGAAGACAGACACACAGAAGAAATGAAAGAAGTCGTGGGAGTAAATGAGTTGAAGCCTGCTTCACAAAAATATCCTGGATGTCTAAAATATCTGCTGTTTTCATAAAATCCCAATGACTTTTTATAAAGTGACTCGTAAAAAGGAAAAGAAATGTCATTTGATTCTTGGAACTCTAAGCAGGTAGTTTTTATGATTATTTTAACTTTGTGATGCTAACATGATGGCAACATTTAAATGCTGGATGTACCGGGCAAAACTGTCAGAAGCCACAGTTATTAAGACATATGAAAGTCAAACCGGCAGCAACATTAATTGGTGGATTCATGGAAAAACAAATGGAAAGCAACCACAGCTTTTGAAACTACATGCTATAATGAATACTAAGTCCAGAATACAATGCAGGGTTTTCATTGTGGCAGGTTCACAGGTATAGAGAAACTTAACAAAAGATGGTTTATACAATATTTATTCAATATAAAGTATCTTTAAAAGTCTGGGTTTAGATATTTTGAAGATAAAGCAGGTCACAGTGAGGAGACGGACGCTCAACAAGATAAACAGGTGTTACAGGTCCTCTTTATTAGAGAGAAAACAGCTGAAAAAGTAAGCACAGAGGACCACCTGGAAGAAATCTTCAAGATAGTTTCAAATATCCTTTCTTGGAAAACATTGTAGAGAGGTAGAATCTTACTTAAAAAGTAAGCAATGTTTTCTTATGTCTCCACTTTTCAGAGTGCTAGAGTGAACATCTGATGAAGAAATCTCCATTCAATTTCTCATTTACTTATTTTATTTACTGGACTAATAAGAAGACAACAGGCTTTCTATAAGGGTCCATTTCATATAATGTACATTCCAAACCCTTCCAGAAAGCTGAAGAGGCTGACAATGTCTAACAAACTGAGAAGTTGTGACAGACAATGTAAGGGATTCTTCCCAAGAATGATTTAGGAAAATCAAGTGTTAACTGATCCTAAGCTTAATTACTAAGTATTAGCGGTAATAGCTGAAGGCTCCCAAGGGGAATTTAGCATCTCTAGTTTTGGAGATGGTTAGGAATCAGTAAGGTGGGTAAAATACTGATGATCTCTTTTTGAGGATAACAACATTTTAAAATTGTAGATTGTATGTAAAGACTCCCTTTTGTGTCCTCTCTTTTTATCTACTCATCTTATAAATCAGTTAAATTTTTATTAGAGATAAATGATAAATAATAAAGAAAACCAAAAAACATTTTGGGGGTTTGCCTACACATTTTTCTCTATATCTGTGTTTCATGAAAGAAGCAAATATAAAGGAGACAAGCAGCAAAGCAATTGCATTTTCCCCGATTGTTTTTTAAACTGAAATCACTACTTACCTCCATCACTACGAAACCCCTGGTCTCTAATCAAGTCCTACAAATAAACAGTAATGGATATTTATTCAAAGCATATGGTAAGAAGGTAATAACAACACTGAACTTTCCACTAACCATTAAGAGAAAGGTTAATTTAACATTACACCTGTCAGTTACTTCATAAATGAATACGAAATTACTGAACATTAGAAGATAAACATTTTGAAGCACTTGCCAACATAACTCTATATCAAAGGGATTATTAGTCCTGATCAAATGCTGAAATCCATTTCAGGTCTTTCAAAACCAATGGCTGCATCAGCTCTTAATTCTACTGGCACATATTAACAGCCATAAAATGTTCATACCCTTTGATCTTGTAATTCCACTTCTGGGAATTTTTCCTAAGGAAATAATTCAGAAGAAAAAAATAATATGCATAAAGATGTTCAGTGTAGCATTATCCATCATACTAAAAGATCAGAAATAATTATTTCCCTAATATAGACATATGACATTTTAGTTAAGTAAGTTATGGTACATCAGTTTCGTAAGTATTCTGTAGCTACTGAAATAAGTATGAAGCTTATATTGTGAAACATGTTTACAATATAATAAAATTAAATGTACATTGATTACAATCAAAATACAGCTGCATAAGGAAACACTAGAAGGGAAAAAATAAAAATTGCTCTAACAAGGGTTTTGTTAAAGTTTTTCTTTATTAATAAAACATCTTTTCACAACAGACAATATTGGGGGGTGGAGAGGGAAAAGTCTACTGGCAACGGGAGGCACTTTGGACATTGATAGGTAGAACTTAGTATGTTTGCCCAGTTTAAATAGGAGGAATTGAATGGCCCCAAATGTCTCTAAACAGGCTCAAAGACACTTTGCAAACAGGCAACTTTTTGTTTATAGAGTAAATTTTTTACAGATGCATTTCTATCATGTCCAATGTTTTATATAAAACCTTTGATGTCTTCTACGAATAGCCAACAAATACTCATACATCTGCCAACAAGGTGCTAGGTGTTAGGGGGTGCGTGGCTACCAATAAATATAAAATCCTTGTGGTCTCCCTAACTTTCTGTGTTCTTGAGAACTTGTAATCTAAGTGGAAGAAAGACGTACAAACATGGAAATGAAATAAGAGAAATAGCTTAAGAAAACAATAAAAGAGGCACCAAAGATGCTTAGTTAATTGTCAAATAAATAGTATGGGTGAAAAGATTCTTAGTGTTACGTGAGTTCAGAGGATAAAGAATTGTAAGACTTGAGCACTGGTGAAGCATTTCAAGAGAAGAGCTACGAATTGGCCTAGATAGGAATGTAGCGGGGAAAGAAGCAGAGGACCGTTTACATTTTTTTAAAATAGGCTCCACGCCCAGCTTGGAGCACAACACGGAGCTTGAACTCATGACCCTGAGATCAAGATCTGAACCACCCAGATGTCCCACAGGCAAAGTTCTAGACAGAAAGAACCACAAGACAAAGGCAGAAGTGCCACATCCCATTCCTTTTTGCTGCACGAACCCTGTGACTCCCTACAACTAGGATCAGCCACCCCTGGCTTTCTCCATTCTTACTGCTAATAACACCATAAACTTCTATTTCTCAATCTGTTCTTAACGCTCCTTGACAATCTTTTCATTTGCTCTAGGTTAAAGAGGATCTTCTAGTATTCCAATACTGGCTATTTCAAACTCTCCCTCATCTCCTTTAGTTCCTTTTGTTACTTTTATCTCTTTAGCCTGACAGAGGAAACAGAAGCCTGTCCCTATATTAACAAATATTTCCACAGTAATGTTAGCTATAATCTCTGAATTCTTACTATGTGCAAGGCATAATAAACATTTTTAAACCAACAAAAGTGGTAGACACTGCTAGCTTCAAGGTTAAGGCATTTGCCAAACGTCAAACAGCCTGTAAAGAGCTGCGGAGCGAGCTATGTCCATCTCTAATTCCTCAGAGCCTCTAAGGAATATCATTTCCATGTTCAGGAACTTGACTATATCAATTATTCCTTCTCTTGGTGTTTTCAACCTCTCTCTTCACTTGCTTCTTCCCCGCAAGTTACAAATATGCTGAAGAATCTCACATTAGAAACAACTGTCCTTCAACCCTGTTTTAATCTATGGCTCCTTCATTATTCCTTGAGAGCCAATCTTCTCAAAATGGACACTTAGGGGCGCCTGGGTGGCTCAGTTGGTTAAGCGTCCGACTTCAGCTCAGGTCATGATCTCATAGTTCGTGGGTTCAAGCCCTGCTTCAGGCTCTGTGCTGACAGCTAGCTCAGAGGCTGGAGCCTGCTTCAGATTCTGTATCTCCTTCTCTCTGACCCTCTCCTGCTCACGCTCTCTCTCTCTCTCTCAGAAATAAATTTTTAAAAATTAAAAAACAAAAAACAAAAAATGGACAATTAACCCCACATCTTTGCCAGCCTTGCTCTCTTCCACTGGCCCTCTAAAACAGCTCTCAGTGAAGTCAAAATGACATTTAAATTGTCCAATAGTCATTTTCAGTCCTTATCACATGTGAGTCTCAATGGCAACTAACATCAACTCTGTCAGCATTCTTGAATTCCCTTTCTGCCCTTTGGAGCAACAATACTCTCTCTTATCTATGTGAAGTTAGACTTAGGAAGAGGAGCCTATAAAAGAGACAGAAAATGACAGTCTCTGCCTGGACCTCAAAATGTTAATAATATGCAGTGGGATTGCACATTCTACCTTCGTTTCAATTTACATGTATGTACTCTTTGAGTAGTATCATATACTACTAAGAAATATGCTAATTATTCCAATTAGAAATATGCGAATTATTCCAAAATCTCTATCTCTACTCGCATTCCTTATATTCAACTGCCACTAGACTTCTAAACCAGTAAAGCTCCTCAGACAGCTTAATGTCAGTATGTCCAAAATAAAAGTTACCATTTTCATTTCTACAAGCCTGTGCTTCTTCCTTTGGTATTTCCTATCCTAAAGAATGGAATGAACACCATCTATTTACCCAAGCCAGAGAAGTGTGGGCATTATCTTCTGCATCTCGTCTCTTTCACCACTTTCTACTACTGTACACAACAGTGGTTAAACATAAATAGGAAAGACCAGGTTTTACCCCATTTCAGTCATTTATCAGCAACGTGATCTTGGGTAAGTTTCTTAACCTCCCCAAATCGAATTTTCTCAACAGTAAAACAAGGATAAAAATAGCAATTAACCCATGAGTGTTTATGAGGACACACTAAGAAAATTTATGTAGGGGAGCCTGCGTGCCTTAGTTGGTTAAGCACCCAATTCTTTGTTTCAGGTCAGGTCATGATCTTGGGTTCCATGAGTTTGAGACTCAAATCGGGCCCTGCACTGACAGTGTAGAGCCAGCTTGGGACTCTCTGTCTGTCTCTCTCTCTCTGCCCCTCCCAGACTCATGCTATCTCTGTTTCTCTCAAAATAAATAAACTTAAGAAAATTTATGTAAAACACGTAGTATATAGTACTTGGCGTATAGTAGGCATTCATTAACAGTAGCCATTCTTGATACCATTCCTAACAGTCTTGCCTTCCAAATCTCTCACGAATTCAAAAGATTCTTCTAAAATATAGAGCTGAGCACTTTCTCTCCCACTCAAAAGTTTTTCAGATTCCCTACTACCAGCTACTACAGAAACCCTAAGACCTGACAATGCCTTTCAGTATGGACTCTACCCACATAGTTTTGTCTTCTAGTAATCCCTACCCTTCTCCTAAACCGGAAACTCCTACAATGTCCATTATTAATTACACCCCAGGTAAAGGTAACTTCCATATTTTTGCATGTACTATTTCCTTAACAAATGCCCTTTCTTCTTCTTCTTCTTTTTTTTATATTTTTATTTATTTCTAAGAGAGAGAGAGAGAGACAGCATGAGCAGGGGAGGTTCAGAGAGAGAGGGAGATACAGACTCTGAAATAGGCTCCAGGCTCTGAGCTGGCAGTCAGCACAGAGCCCGACGCGGGGCTCGAACCCATGAACCGCGAGATCATGACCTAAGCGAAAGTCGGACGCTTAACTGACTAAGCCACCTAGGCGCCCCACAAATGCCCTTTCTTCTTAAAACCCCCACCTACTGAACTTACTAAACGCCTACGTATTCATCTTTTACAATGTGGCTTCAATGTTGTCCTTTCTCTATTAAATAGGGTGATAAACTCTACTTTGTTGTATATAGAATTATCACCCTTTTCTATAAACTACCACTATATATTTTTGCATCTATTTATATGTCTGATTCATCCATTAGACCATGTGCTAATTCATCTTTAATTCCCAATTCTGACAGTGCCTATCCCAGAGTCAGCATTGCCAAATATGTCAAAAATGAGCTTAAAAAAACTTATTTACTAGGATAAATAATAAATAGTGCTTAGATCTGAATGAAATGACTGTAATTGAATGAAAATGCTGAAGCATTTATATATTATCTTCTAATCAATGGAAGTCAATGAAAGTTTTGGAACAAGGAAACAGATGACGACAGAGGTTTTATTCTGACACTAACATAAAGAATGGAAATGGATAGAGAGAAACCAATGGCAGGAAATCCATTTAGGAGATTAATAAGTAATTCAAATGAAGAAATATGGGCCCAGAGGGTGGTAGTAAAGAGAAGAAATTTGAGATGCATTACCAAAAGAAAAAGGTGATATCTTCACGACTATTTGGTTAAAGGGAAGGAAGAAAAGGCAAGACATAAAGATGACACCCCAAATATTCAAGTCTCAGAGAACAGAACAGTAACACTAAGAGGAAAAGTCTAGAGGGAAACAGTCTAAAACGATGTTAGTACTGAAAGTAAAAATGGCTACAATATAAAAACAAAGTTTATTTATTTATTTCGAGATAGGGTAGGGACAGAAAGAGAGAGGGAGGGAGAGAGAAGGAATCCCAAGCAGGCTCCACGCTGACAGGAGAGAGCCCAACACAGGGGCTCAAACTCACAAACCGTGAAATCATGACCGATTGATCTGAAATCAAGAGTCAAAAGCTTAACTGGACTGAGCCACCCAGGTGTCCCAAGATGGCTACAATTTTGAACATAATGAAAATAGATCTAATTTAGAAATAAGATTTGACTGCTTATTTCACAATCTCATTATTCCCATATTTCCCTCTTTTACTATTTTCTTCCTTTGTATTCAGGCTTAGCTAGACCTTATTAATTGAAAAAAATAGATATTAGGCAAAGACCATTTATAATAAATCCAACAAAAATAGAGAAAAAAATCTCATAGTAAAAAGTGGGAAGAAAGTCTGTAATTTGGAAGCTTATCTTGAAAAATGAGATTAAAATTTATAATAAAGATTTTCTTTTATATTTAATAACTTTTAAGTTATAATTTCAATATACTCATTCTTAGAACACAGGAATCAAGTTTTTTGTTGTTCACAATATGAAAGTTATAGCACCAACTAAAATCCTCGATTTCATATTCATCTTTTATATAACAAGCATAATCATTTTTATAAAAATTTTAGAGGGCTTCATCAATTCCCTGAAGGGCCTCTATCAATCCTTTGATATTTAAATCATTTTCATTTGAAGAACCTATTATATTGTCATCTCTATGGATCTTTTCTCTTCTATTGTTAACTGGACTAATTTAATTCTACTATATCCTTATTTTTCAATGGCTTTTTGTAATTTCAGTAGGTCTCAAAGTCATTTTTCACTATCTTTATAAAATCCTTAAACCTTTTTTTTTTTTTTTTTGCCAGATTTGCAATCAATTTGCATTATATTTTCATTGACATGTTGGATAATGATGTATGGGGGTTGGAATGCAAACTGGAATTAGATGGGGAAGGATGTCTGAGTGGGGACTAATATTAAAGTAGTCTGTTAGTAAGTGAATATTTTCCTGTTAGGAAAATTTTTGCTTCTCTACTCAACTTTATGTAACTATGAAGACTCATATAATGAATGCCTGTATGATGAGAATAACTCCTATCGTCTGACACACACACAGCCACCTCACTAACTCTAGTACCCTGTTTATGTAAGGAAAGAGTTTTAACTTCCTTTTTAAATAGAATTAGTTTCCAAGGCAAACAAACTTGGTGGATTTTCTGTTTTGCTGCTTATCACAGAGAGTAAGGATAAGCTACACTCTTCATCTGAAAGCACAAATGCTGGGAGAAGTGACACTAATTCCAAGATCAGGAGCCCCCAGCCCACCACAGTGCAGGTGGCAAGAGCAGATCCTCTCTTCTGTAACTCAATTACTGGACTCTTTTGTAAATAAAGTTTTATGAGAATAAAGCCTCACTCATTTGTGTATAAGGTATTATCTCTGCTTTCATGCTACAATGACAAAGTTCAACAGCTGTCATCAGAAATCATATGACCCACAAGCCTAAAATATTTACTATCTGGTCCTTTGAGAAAATCTTGTTGATCCCCAGTCTTCCTGTTTCATCTTCTACCCTTTTAACAAAACAAGTATTTTTTGATGACAAATTAGGTATATAATTCTAAGACAAGATCAAGGAAACTAATATTAGGAATGGTTTCTGCTGCCAAAAAGATCTAAATGAAGTAGCAACACGAACATACATAGTTAAGTTCCAGTGTGCCAGATAAACTGGAAAAGTAAAACATCAAGAGTGACCAACCAGAAGGTGGCTAAAATAATTGAAGGGGTGAGATTACAATATATGATGATGAAACAAGAGAAGATATATATTTTTTTAAATGAATGATTAAACCTTAATGAGAAACAGGGCACCTGGGTGGCTCAGTCAGTTAAACATCCGACCTCGAGGTTTGTGAGTACAAGCCCTGCTGTCAGGCTCTGTGCTGACAGATCAGAGCCTGGGGCCGGCTTCCTATTCTGTCTCCCTCTCTCTCTGCGCCTTTTCCTGCTCATGCTCTGACTCTCTCTCAAAAATAAATGTTAAAAAATTAAAAAAAAAAACACCTTAATGAGCAACTTTACATAAAAGAATATGCAAAAATTCAAGATGTGTAGAGAGGTGGGATTATAATGGTATAGTCAAAAAAGTAAGGAAGGTAGGGGTGCCTGGATGGCTCAGTCAGTGAAGCATCTGATATCTGCTCAGGTCATGATCTCAAAGTTAGTGAGTTCAAGTCCCACATCCCACACTGAGCTCTGTGCTGACAGCATGGAGTCAACTTAGATCCTGTGTCTCTCTTTCTCTGCCCCTCCCCCATCACACACACTCTCTCAAAACTAAACATTTAAAAAAAAAGTAAGGAAGGTAAAAAGTAGCTTTGCATGTCTCATACATAAATGATTAGTCCTAAAGGGTTATTTAACTCAATTGTACTTTTAGAAATTTAGATAAAGATTTCAAATTGATCTAAATAGAAAAAATGGCCAAGGGATTATCTGTTAAATAAATGAAGTTAAGACTTTTGCAGAAACAATGTTCTAAGGAAAAAAAATCCAAACAACTCCATAATTGGGCATCAGTTAGGTAGTTAATGCCATCAGAGAAGATGACAAGGTTTTTCTGATCACTAATTCACGAAGTCTATCACTTAATAACTGTGACACATGAAAGATGGCACTTATTTCTGATCTTGACTATAAACGTAGCAGAAAAAGAAATATAATTGAATTTTTTAGTTCTAACAATGCTGGATACTTACATCAATATTGACAGGTTCTATTGTATTTATATGCACATTTGGAGCTGATGAGGACCGGTCTCGTTGTCCAAATTGATTTCGATGATCTTCATCTGCTGGTCGGAAAGGCTGTGGAATTGGAATGGATTTTGAAGGAGACGGACTGGTGAGAATTTGGGGCCTGGAAAAATCAAGTCATTGAAAGATAAGATTTAGAGCAACTTTACAGAGATAAAAACATAAAAGATGGGTGCTCTAAAGATTCCCTTGTTTTTATATTCTCTAATAAAAATCCAATAAAACTGCTACATTAAAAACCCGCAGTAATGGTGTTTAAAAAACTAATATATGCCCATAATTAATACTGAAAAGCTACTTTTGCTGAAGCAGACCCTCCAGGGACTATCAATGATAAGAACAATGATTCCTACCCAAGAACTCCAGGGTAACCTACAAATGGCTAGAAATTACCTGTGGTTAATCAGCTAAAGAAACTCTTTAAAATTACACAAAAATCTGTAGATGTTAGATACTAGAGACTGACTGAATAATATCTGCTATTTTTTTCTACCTTTGCCATTTCTTAATAGCTGAAGTTACTAAAATGGAATTTTTGTGGAAAGTATTGGAAAATTATATTTTGAAAATACACCTGTGGATTTCAAGACCTCAAAGATGTACCTGTTGCTTTACAGAGTTGAATTAAAATCTTGAATAGCAAAAGACCATTTGCAAACCCAAAAAATGATCCTTATAGTGTCAATCTCTTACATTTTAACTTTTTAAAAGATGTTTTATTTATTTCAGAGAGAGAAAGAGAGAGACAGAGTGAGCAGGGGAGCGTCAGAGAGAGAGGAAGATACAGAATCTGAAACAGGCTCCAGGCTCTGAGCTAGCTGTCAGCACAGAGCCCGACGCGGGGCTGGAACCCACGAACCATGAGATCATGACCTGAGCCGAAGTTGGATGCTTAACAGACTGAGCCACCCAGGCGCTCCAGTTTATTTTGAGAATGAGAAAGAAAGCACAAACGGAAAAGGGGCAGAGAGAGAGAGAATACCTAGCAGTCTCCACTCTGTCAGGCAGAGCCCGGCATGGGGCTTGATCTTATGAACTATGAGACCACGACCTGGGCCAAAATCAAGAGCTGGGTGATGAACCAACTGAGCCACCCAGGCGCCCCTGAGCCATGTGCGAATCCCATGCAATCTTTGGATTTTAACAAAAGCAATCTTTGGATTATAACGTGGTTTTTCACAAATATCTCCCAAAAGTGCAATGCGCGTTGGTTCACCCAACACAAGAACTTTGGTCTAAACAACAGCTATATTTCTCATGGAAATGAGTTACCTGGAATTTCGATTCAGTCTTTTCTAATTCTCGTTACTGTAAACCAGTGTATCTATAACTCTCATCATTTCTGGGGACTCAAAACATGGAGTTTCCACACTGGGACGTCTTTACCTGGACCAAGGCAATTCATACCCGGTCAAGTATGCTGGCTGCCAGCAAACGGGCTTTCTCCTGATGACACTTCCAACTATCTTGCTCCAGATCTCTTTAAAGCAGTTCCAGGTTAAAAATTAAGAAAAATTTACCTCTAACACTCTTCAGCAAATTACCACTTAGTTTAGATCTCATTTTCAATCTAGAATATTAAAAACCTAGGTGGCTCAGCCGGTTGAGTGTCCGACTTTGGCTCAGGTCATGATCTCATGGTTTCTGAGTTCAAGGCCTGCACTGGGCTCTGTGCTGACAGCTTGGAGCCTGGAGCCTGCTTTGGATTCTGTCTCCCTCTCTCTCTGCCCTTTCCCTCTCACACTGTCTCTCTCTCTCTCTCTCTCTCAAAAATAAACAAACATTAAAAAACAAAGTTTGTTTTTTAAAGAATATTAAAATATTAAGAATAATTTATTAAAATATTAAGAATATTTTAAGAATATTAGAAAAATATTCTTAATATTTTAATATTCTTTAACATTAAAGAAATTAAAGCCTGAATAGCTCAGTTGGTTAAGTGTTCACCTTTGGCTCAGGTCATGATCTTGCAATTCATGGGTCTGAGCCCTGCATTAGGCTTTGTGCTGACGGCTCAGAGCCTGGAGCCTGCTTCAGATTCTGTGCCTCCCTCACCCTCTGCTCCTCCCACGCTCATACTCAGTCTCTCTCTCAAAAATAAATAAATATTAAAAAAGAAAAAAATATTGAAAGTTTTGGGGCACTTGGATGGCTCAGTTGGTTTAGTGACTGACTTCAGCTCAGGTCATAATCTCACAGTTCCTGAGTTTGAATCCAGTATCAGGCTCTCTGCTGTCAGCCCAGAGCCTATTTCAGATCCTATGTCTCCTTCTCTCTCTGCCTCCCCCAACCCCTCTCAAAAATAAACAAACATAAAAAAAAATATATTAAAAGTTTTCAAAGTTTTGAAGCAAGGTGACTCCTTCTGTTCAGCAATATGTATATTTTATTTACTTATAAGCTTATTTATTTATTTATTTATTTTGAGAGAAACAGAGTACGAGCAAGGGGGGTGGGAGAGAGAAAGGAAGAGACAGAGAATCTGAAGCAGACCCCACACTGCCAGTGCAGAGCCTGATGTGGGGCTAGAACCCACAAATTGTGAGATCATGACCTGAGCTGAATCCAAGAGTTGGTCACTTAACCAACTGAGCCACCCAGGTACCCCAGCAATATGTAAATTTTAAAATGCTGACTTTTTATACATTCACACATTCCATAGCATTTTTAAAAAACAGAAAAGGATGTACTTCTAACTTTTAATTCAAAACTGGGCAATGTATCACTTCTCCAATGTCTTGGTTATGTCCATTATTCTACGTGCTTTGTGAACACTAGAATTATTACCAAGACTATTAACAAAATGCAAAAGAATAGCAATACAGAACCTATTCTGTATTGGTTCCTATCTTCTCACAGGCACATACAGACACTCATGACTTAAGAGAATCAGGAAAACAAAAGTTTGGACATCTTTTTTATCATGTGCTCAAGATTAGAATGTACTTCAATTTAGTTATAAATAAAATATTCATGGCATAGCAAATGGTTTCTCAATTTTAAAACAGCACCCCTACACGGGAAGGCACCTGTTCTGGATGACTATCATTATGAACCTTCAGGGAAGCCAAGTTAGTTTCATTAAGGTGTTCCTGTAACTCTGCTCACAGAACTAGGACCTGCCACTGGAAAGGCATCATGGTCTATAGAACCTGTCAGGAGCAAATGCCATCACCAGCAGATTAATTAAAAATCAAAACAAACAATAACACTTAGATCTCCTAAGGAAGACACAGGTGCGTAAAACTAATGATAGAGACAGCAGGAATAACATGACTGTGCTAGAGCAGGGGACTGGTACAGCCCAACTGACTGACTGAGTAAATAAGTAAGTGGCCGCATTTTCTAGAGTTCCAAAGTAAATAAAAAATATACAGTCCTTAATACAAATCTTTACTAAATTTTCTAGCCTATGAGACCTCTAGAAAGATTGGCTTTGTAAAATTACAGGTCTCTTGGGATTATCCACTTATTTTTTTTTCTCTCTCTAGGTAGAAAGATAGCCTTACCTTGTGAAGAGAGGAAGGAAGTAGGGTTCAAATTTCTGATCTTAACTAATTATCTCTGGAGTGTTATAGAAGAGAATGCCATGTGGGGACTTTTTTTTTTTAACCATATGCTTCCAAATACAGCATAATTTATTCTGCCTCAAATCCATCAGGTAGAGTATGCTAACCAATGTAACAAATTCTCCAAAATACTAATATCTATTAAACTCATCATCTTTTTTCTCTTTTTTTTCCTACTATGAACCTTGAATATATGATGCCTTGGTATCCTCTTCAAAGTCAGTTTTCTCATTTATCCTCCACACCTAATAATACTATTAATTTTTTCCTTTACACTGTGTGCATATCTAGCCCTTCTCCACCTTGCCACCAGCCCGGTTCAAGTCTTTACTGCCACTCACTGTCTTCACTATGAACAACATGTGAGTTGGCCTTCTTCACCCTAGACATTTCTGTCAATCTACCTATCACTGCTATGTAGAGATTCTTTCCTTAAAATCATTTTGACCAGGCTAGTTCTCTCCTCAAAAACCTTTACTTTTCCCCCCTCTTGTGTTAAGTTTTAAGCCTAAATTCTAGTCTGAATTTGAACACTCTTCACTATCTGGTTTTACACATGTTACTTCTCAACTTAGATTAGCCTCTATTCACTCTCAAATCTACCATCCCATCCCCTTGGTTTGTGCTATTTCTCCCTACCACCCTACCACCCCTCATCATGCTTTTTATTCCCTGGGCTCATCCAGACTCTTGAATTCATATCCCATTTCTTCATTAAATGTTCTTGACTATATACTCACTATTCTTCCCTTCTGCAGTAAACATGATAACATTTATGTCCTTCTCACATCATTTAAAATATTATGTCATAAGTTGCAGACTATTTTTAAATTGTCTGCCATTGTCTCATTGGTTTAATGCTACTTTTCTAAATGGAAATCACAGACTTCTATATTTGATATTACCTAGTAAAGTGATGAGCAAATGGCAGGGGCTCTAAATGATCTGTTGCTTGATTTTTTTTTTCAAGGCTGGTCCTGAAACAGTCCATGTCAGTTTTAACCCCATGCGTCTGTACTGAATGCATGTACATATTTCCCTGATGTGGTAAGATAATTTACCTGGAGAAAAATCCTTAATTTAACAGTCCAAGTGTTGGAAAGCCTTATAATTAACCAAAAGATCCAAAGAAACCAGCTCAAATAGCATTGTCATTGAAAAGCAGGAGTCAAATCATACCCAGTAGAGTCGGAGGGGGGGGCAGAAGGGGATGACCCAGATGTAAGGGCGGTCTCTGCTATGGAGGCCTCCTCCTGTGGTATTGGGTGGTGTTCAAAGAACTTGGAGACAAACAGCAAACTGTGAGGCAAAAACAAAAACAAAACAAAACAAACCTAACTTGTGCAAAACCCAGAAGCTTCACACATCAGAATACATTATAGAGTGAACAGAAATATTTGAGATCAAATTCCATTTTCACAAATGACTGTTAAAAATAATTAGTCATATTTTTGCCTAAAGGCTTATTTAAAAAAATTATATTGTACTTTAAAAGGCAAACTTATAATCTAGAACTAATTCTATCTAGCAAATTTCTATATATTAGAGGGGAAAAAACATGCTTTATGGTTAAGGAATTAGAAGAAAATGCATCTACTGTTAGGTTATATTACATCAAATGTACTTTAAAGTACAGAGTTGAATTCTCTGTGCTCAAGTGATCAAAAAAGTAATCAGACCTTAACGGTAGGATCAGCAACAACATTGAAAAAGATTACGGAGACTCAGTCTGATCTATTAGAGAAACTCTAGCATAAAGCAAATAGAAGTTTTAGAAATATACACTGGGTACAAAGATTTTATATATTACTTTCAAATAAACTGGGCAGGGGAGGTTGAAAGAGAGAGAAAAGAGAGAGAGAAAACACGTAATTTACAAAATAGTGACAGGATCAGAGCCCCTGATCTTTGATCCAAAAATATAGTTAACTTAATTGAAATCACACCTACTCTCCTCCCAAAAACCATCTATCAGTGATGTCTATGGGCAAGGGAACTTTATTCATTAGGAGAGAATATAATGCATAAATGAAATGTATAGCTGAATCAGAACTACAATTTGGGGGAGCAGTACTGGCTATACTATATAGTATTCTGTAGTCACCCTTTCTTTGTTCCCCCATAATTCTACTGGACAGAAAATTCCCAGACTCTAAGATACTCTAGTTTCACATTAAGAAAAGTTAAATGTAAAACGGTAGATAGAAAAGAGACTTTTTTTAAAAAACTACTTACTCAAGTTGGTCATAATTAACACACATCAGTGGAACCTCTGTACTACAGCGCTGGTGAAATTTATAACCACACGTTTGACAGCGAAAACCTTGGAAAAGCAGCTTTCGACAAAAGTCACAAAATGCTAATGTGAAAAAAGTTTTCCGTACCTGCAAAGTAAAAACATCAGAGAGCATTGTAAAAACTTTCAAGAATCTTTTTAGAAATCAACTTATTTGCTTAAAATAACAAATCTTTAATCTGTTCATATCATGAGAACTGCCTTACACACGAAGATACTAAAATGAAGACTGGGGGTTCAAGACCATAGATGGACTATATGTATTTATGTCCCACTCAATATCCAATTAAAAAACTCAGAGTCAAGAAGATGGAAAGTGAATATAAAAGACTGAAAACTATTTTCAACTTGACTCCATGAAAGTAAAAGTAGAGACGACAAGTAGGGAACAGGGGTGTGGGGGGAGGGAGGTGAAAGGAATGGTGAGGCCCACTTGAACAACTATACAACCAAAGGAGTTAAGCAACGCTTGTTCCTGCTGACAGAACAAGAAACAACGGTATATTACTTAAAGTTATAAAGATATCTGACAGAGAAACCTGTCTACAAAACAAAGAAACCAACAAAAAAACCTAAAAATTCACATTGAAGGAGAGAAGAAAGATGGTTGGAACACTACAAATGAGCTAATTCTCTATAAAATCAGTGATCAGTAAATGACAGCTGAGGTTGAGAAAGCAAGGAACTCTGGCTTAAAGTTATTACTTAGTAAAAGGCAAAAAATCACCCAAAGAGCTTTAAAACAGAAACAGACTAGGATAAGGGATAGGAAAATCATCTAAAAGACAATAGGAACCACTTTTAACAAATTATCAGAGGATTAGAACATCTAAATGCACTGTGAACATTCCTCCGTGGGAAACTTAAGAATTCACCTCAGAAGGCAACTGATCTACAACATGGGTCACATAAAAAGAACTGCGTGATAACTACTGAAGCCAGAAATTATTTTTAGACTATTTGTTTTACGTATAGAATAAGCAGAAAATATAAGAAAGATAAATACCAAAATGTTAACAAAGGCTACTTCAGAGTGGTGAAAGCATGGGTGACTATTTTGTCCTTTGTCTTTCCTATATATTCTCAGTTCAGTTCTGTCTCAGACAGTTTTAATCACAAACAACAGTAGGAAGTATATTTTACACCATGATCCAGGACGTACCTATATTCATGTTAACAGTATATACACTGAACATATAAAATGTACATCAGAACTTTCTATTACATGCAAATGCCTTTCATGAGCCAGTAAGTTGATTTCAATACCCACAGTTTACGAAACTCTTTTCAATAAACATGCATTTAACAGGATAAAAAGTTATTTAAAAATAAGGTCTCATCAAGAAAATGGTATATTGGCACATGACGCATTCCAGCTTTTTGAGAACATGCAGGTAATTTCAAAAGTGGCTCTTGCTTTCTTCACCTAAAAAGGTCTATGTATCACTTCCTAGAAAATATAAAAGGCAACTACTTGTTTTTAGCTTTCTTACTTTTCCATCTGTCTCTGGATATACAAGGAATTAGAAACTCTTTAACATTTATGTGGCCATTACTCGCCAACACAAGGATTTTTTGTATTTCTTGCAGAATCTCAGAAAGTAGAGCACAGAAAATTTCAAATCAGGTTCACAGGAATCGTTTTATAGTCACCTGATCCTCTTTGCTAACCATTTCTCACTCGTCTGATAATCTGTTTCATGAAGCCCTAATTTCTTTTTTCTTTTCTTTTTTTAAAATATTTTATATATTTCTGAGAAAGAGAGAGAGAGAGAGAGAGAGAGAGAGAGTGAGTGTAAGCAGGGGAGGGTCAGAGAGAGAGGGTGACACAGAATCTGAAACAGGCTCCAGGCTCTGAGCTGGCTGTCAGCACAGAGCCCAAAGCAGGGCTTGAATCCACGAACTGTGAGATCATGACCTGAGCCGAAGTTGGACGCTTAACCAACTGAGCCACCCAGGCACCCCATATATTTCTTTTTTTCATTAATCTACTCACTTGCAGTCTTTCTTCCCGTTACTGACTTCTACTTGAAACCTATGTGTATCAGGCTGTTTGTGTACATATAGGAGGAAAAAAACCCACAAGGCAGGAGAGGAGGAAGAAGGGAAGCAGAGAGGAATGGAAATGAGCAAAAGCAAACGTGGGTGTGTAGGGGTATAAACTGTGACATACACTTGAATACAGGAGTGTACTCCTGTCAATACAAGTGGGCAGAGGAAGGCAGATTTTCCTATTTTTCTACCTTTCCTGCCACCTCCACCCTGTCATTCCAAGGGACTCCTGGGATTCAGGCAAATACCAAAGGAATTGCTGTTATAACAGATTCTGAAGAATCGGGAGACATAAGCAGCTTTCCTTGAGTAGCCAGCAAAACCCAGCACAGAGAAGCGAAGAGAGGAATTATTTCCCTTTCTTAAGCAAAACACAGGCTTTTCCTCTGCCTATACACGGTACTCAGAACAACTATTCTAAAAAACAAATTCAATCCCAGGTCTCCCCTGTTCACAATCATTCAATTTCCAGTGATTTTGGAGAGACGTCCAAATCTTTAACGTGCCTTACAAAGACTCCGACGAGCTAGACTCTTCTTACTCTAGCCCAAACTCTCCCAGCACTGTAACAACCCCCTCTCCAATTTTATACCATCCCCTGAGCTTCCTTCAGGGCTGATGAGCACCATGCTTTCTCACTGTTCCTTCTGTTGGAAGTATTCTTCCTCATTCATTGGGCCTTAGCTTAGATATTCTTCCTTTGGGAACCTTTCCTGATGCTCCAAGGCCAAGGTAGGAGTCTCCACTCTGTGCATCTACTGTACTTTATACATACACAGTGATTAACAGTGTTTATCAAATGTTCTTATCGAATTATCTGTCTCTCTAGTCTAAGGTGAGGATATGGTTTTTCTCATTCATGGTTATAGCCCCAGATCAGAAACAGTGTTGGCAAATGGAGATTCTCAATAAATATTTACTGGCAAGTCTCCAACTGTGTTGTGAGGATTTCAATACTCTGGAACCAGGCTGCAGTTTGTTTTCATTATTCTCTTGTGGCAAGGACCTTCCTGAGGCATTAGATCTAACATTAGATCTTTCATCTCCACTTAACTAATTTCTAGCTAAGAAGAATAATTAAGAAAAAGAGTACTAAGCTATACTGTTTTGGGATTCTGAAAACTTAAAATTATCTTCATATGTATCCACCCTAAATTCGACAAATTAAAAAAAAAAAATCAATAGTAATGAACTTGCTAGGTCATCATTACAAAACTACTTGGTACATAGTAAATCTGACTGACAACATTCATCAGCCTAGGGTGGGCTCCGAGCCTGGAGCCTGCTTCAGATTCTGTGTCCCCCTCTCTCTTTGCCCCATTCTCCACTCACTCTGTCTCTCTCTCAAAAATAAACATTTGGGGCACCTGGGTGGCTCAGTCACTTAAGTGTCTGACTTTGGCTCAGGTCACGTTCTCACAGTTTCTGAGTTTGAGCTCCATGTCAAGCTCTGTGCTGACAGCTCAGAGACTAGAGCCTGCTTCACATTCTGTGTCTCCCTCTCTCCCTTTCTCTCTGTCCCACCCCTGCTCATGCTCTCCCTCTCACTCAAGACTAAGCAAACATAAAAAAATTAAAAAATAAATAAACATAAAAAAAGATGTCTTATTTACTGAAGCACAAAGTATTTGTCACTAATGGAGCCCTGAAAGCACAAACCCCCAAAGAAATCAGCTCATCATTCATCTGCTTTAGGAGTCCAGCTGTAACTGATCACCAAAGCACATGGCAAAGCACTTGATGCCCAGAGGTTAGCAATAACTATTTCCATCTAGAAAAGACAAACTATTGTCAAAATTCCATATATAATAGAAAGAAGTACATTCCTGCCTTATAGATCATTCTACTCCTGGCTTCTGCCTATCCTTTAGAGGGTAAGCTCTCAAACTCTGGGCACTATATCCTCATCACTAAGGTACAGATTCCTCATATTCCAGGTCTCATGCTGGTGAGACTTAGCTTTAGGCTAGATTCCAGCAAATGCAAACCCCAGATGAAGTGAGAAGTCCTCAAGGAGAGCTACTCCACTTCCATTAACTCATTATTCAGAAACATTTATACAAGTGTATCAAGCTGTATGCAAAAATTCTGTTTAGGTCTGTACAAAATTGATTTAAAAGTACCTTATATGTCTATTAATACAGGATGGTTAAATATGGACTATTATGCAATCACTATAAACATAAAGCTAGGTGTACTGATGTGGAAAGAGATCTATGATGCACTGCTGAATTTTTTTTTTTTTTAAGGTGAAGTACATCATACAGAATATGACTCCATCTTTAGCTTAAGGAAGAAAAGGGAAGGGAAAGGGAGGGGAGTGGAAGGGAGGGAAGGGAAGAAAAAAAGAGAAAGGAAAAGACTTTGGGCTCACATGCATAAGCACACATTTTTATACACAGAAAGAGTTTAGAAGACTACAAAATCACTAACAAATGTTTACCCTAGTAGGTATTTTCATTTTTTTACTTGATATATTTTTGTACCATTCAAATTTTCTTTCTAGTTCTTCAAAAAAAATTTTTTTTGAGAGAGAAAGTGCATGCACGCAGGGGATGGGCAGAAGGAGAGGGAGAGAGTGCATCTTAAGCAGGCTCCACCCCATAACTGTGACAGCATGATGGAGCCTAAATCAAGAAGTGGATGCTTAACTTACTCAGCTACCCAGATGCCCCTTCTTTTTAGTCCCTTGTAATGAAAGATATCTATTGCTCTTTCAAATTAAAAAGAAAGTATATGATTAAAATAAAATTCTAGTTTAAATACAAGGTTTTTAAATAACTGATTTTAACAGAGGTAAAATATCAATCCCTAAATTACTCATGCATATTGCATATTCCTTAAGTAAAAATTCATGCACAAGAACCTGAATGTTTTTGACATTTAGAAAAAATGCACAAGTACATACAAAGTTGTGAGTTGTAAGTGGAACATTTTCCAACACTTCTACATGCAATTCCTCTCCGGTGAGCCAGGAAATATCAGTGTCCCAGCCAATTGGTTTCTTCTCTCTGAAAAGTGTAGACACAGCCTTTCTTGGTTAGCATACCTAAAAATCTTCACATACCCCATGCTGAAGATATGAAAATTGGTTATTGAGGGGCTAGTAATGGTGAGGGAGGTTTGGCTCCCTGATCTTCCATCGTTAGAAATTTAAATGGCAATAAATTAATTTTTAAGTTTACCCCAAATAAATGTATCACTCTTGGACAAACAGCAGGGTAAAGAGATGTACTCTTTTCTTCAAGTCAGCTCCAGAAAAGACCTACAACAGCAGAAAATTGATTGTTCCTAGGGTTCCCCCTCCAAAAAAAAAAAAAAAAATCACAGGTACGGATTTATCTATCCATTCCAAAAAAAACAAAAAAAAAAGGGAGCACCTCAAGGGACACCATGCCCCAAAAAGGGTATTTTTTTTAACAGGGTTCAAAATCTGGGGGGTTTTGGCACAATTTTAGACACTTTTCTGAAAGAAAAATAATTTAATATGAAATGTTAATTTTGATAAGCCTTTTGTGAAACTGTGAGTTTATATTAAAAATAGGGACACGGGGAAGAGTCCATTATTCAAATAATTAAGTCACACCCTAAACAGTTCAAAAATTTTAAGATTCTCAAACATCAAATGAAGTCATTTGATCAGAATAACAAAATACTACCACCACACAAAATTATCTAGTATTAACTCCTCAAAAGGCCGGCAAGTTTTTTAAAGCTAACTTAATTTTTTTTCTAAACTTAAATTTTAACACCCTAGATTTGGGTAAAGATGCTACAGAAAACCCCAGAGTTCAATGTCTGAGGTTTTTTTTGCCTTTGTAAAACAAAATTTCACATCACATACAAACCATACCCATCCTGAATTCTGTAAACAGCACAGCACTCTGGGATTAGACCTCTCATCATCAGAGCTTTCTTTAGACTGTCCCGGACAGTAACTCCACATCTTGCGGGTACCTATGGTATCGTAAATATATGATATGAGGTAAAAGGAATAAATTCTCTATTTTTTGTATCATTTCAAAACAGCTCAATACTTTATCCTTATAATACTTTAAAATGTCATATGGATTACTATGTCAGATACAATATTGTTTATAGAGCTAACTTAATATTAAAGTAAAATTATGACCCAAGTATCTACTATTCATCAACTTAAAGCAAAATTGATTTTGCTTTTTATTAAAATTATGAAATATTTTGTACATATAAAAAGAGAATAGAGAAGTAGAACAGATTCCTATATACCCACAACTAAGAAATAACAAGTCAACATTTAAAGCAAAGTCATTTTTTAAAATTTGAATATAGCTGACACACATCACATCAGTTTCAAGGGTACAAAGTGTTTCAACTTCTCTATACATCATACTGTGCTCACAAGGTAGATGTAGGTACTGTCACCATACAATATTATAGTAGTATTATGGACAATATTCTTTATGCCTTTCATCACCATGACTTATTTTTTCCCCCATGACTTACTAATCCCATTAACTGTATCTCCCCCACTTCCCTTCACCCATCTTCCCTATCCCTCTATTCTCTGGCCCTCTGGCAGCCATCAGTTTGTTCTTTCTAGTTCTAGGTCTGATTATGCTTTGTGTTTGGTTATTCATTTGTTTTATTTTGTAGATTCCACATGCAAGTAAAATCATATGGTATATGTCTTTCTCAGTCTGATTTATTTCACTTGGCATAATACACTCTAGATCCATCCATGTGGTTGCAAATAGCAAGAGCTCATCTTTTTTTTTTAAATACTTTTTTTATATTGATTCATTTTTGAGAGAGAGAGAGAGACAGAGTGCAAGCAGGGGAGGGGTAGAGAGAGAGGGAGACACAGAATCTGAAGCAGGCTCCAGGCTCCAAACTGTCGGCACAGAGCACAACGCAGGGTTTGAACTCATAGACTGCAAGATCATGACCTGAGCCAAAGTTGGATGCTTAACTGACTTGAGCCACCCAGGTGCCTCAAGAGCTCATCCTTTTTTATGGTTTTGTAATATCCCTCTGTGTGTGTGTGTATGTGTGTGTGTGTGTGTGTGTGTGTATGTGCACGCATGTGCACACGCAACTGCTATGCCTAGGACTTTTAATACTATGTTGAATAAAATATGTTATTCATTCTTCCTTTTTTTAATAGTAGCCATTCTAATGGGTGTGAAGTGGTAGCTCCTTGTAGCTTTGATTTGCATATTCCTAATGATTACTGTTGAGCATCTTTTCATGTGTTTTTTGGCCATCTGTATATCTTCTTTGGAGAAATGTCTATTTAAGTCCTTTCCCCTTTTCTTAATCGGGTCATTTAGGGTTTTTTTTTTTTGCTGTTGTTGTTGTTGAGTTGTAGGCATTTTTAAAAATACGTTCTGAAGGGGCGCCTGGGTGGCTTAGTCAGTTAAGCGTCCAACTTTCGCTTGGGTCATGATCTCGCGGTTCGTGGGTTCGAGCCCCGCGTCGGGCTCTGTGCTGACTGCCAGCTCAGAGCCTGGAGCCTGTTTCAGTCTGTGACTCCCTCTCTCTCTGACCCTTCCCTGCTCACGCTCTCTCTCTCTCTCCTAGAAATAAATAAAACATTAAAAAAATTAAAAAAAAATACGTTCTGAAATATTAACCCCTTTATCATATATGTGATTTGCAAATATGAAAATAAGTTGTCTTATTCCATAAGTGGTCTTTTCACTGAGATGACTGTGTTCTGATTCACATGGTTTTGTGGGTTGTTTTAAAAATTTAAATACATGTTACTTAACTCATAGTGTAGTTATTGGTTTCAGAAGTAGAATTTAGTGGTTCATCACTTACATATAACACCCAATGCTCATTCCAACAAGTGCCTTAATGCCCATCACCTATCTACCCCACCCCCCGCACCCACTTCCCCTCTATCAACCTTCAGTTTGTTCTCTATAGTTAAGTCTCATATATTTTGCCTCCCTCTCTATTGTTATTTTATTTTTCCTCCCCTTCCCCTATGTTCATCTGTTTTATTTCTTAAATCCAACAGATTCTTAAATTTTAAATACCTTAAAACCATGGAATTTGTTTTTCTTTGACTTATTTCATTTAGCCTAATACACTCTAGTTCCATCTATGTTGTTGCAAATGACAAGGTTTCATTCTTTTTGACTGCCAAGTGATATTCCATTGTATATAAATATATCCTCTTTATCCATTCATCAGTTGATGGACATTTGGGCTCTTTCCATAATTTGGCTATTGTTGATACTACTCTTATAAACATTGGGGTGCATGTGCCCCTTTGAATCAGCATTTTTGTATTCTTTAGCTAAAAATGTAGCAGTGCATTTGCTGGGTCATAGGGTAGTTCTATTTTCAACTTTTGGAGAAAACTCTATTTTGTTTTCCAGAGTGGCTACATCAAAGCTTCTGATTCACAGTTTTTTAATTTTGATGTGGTCTCATTTCTCTATTTTTAAATATGCTGCCTGTACTTTTGGTGTCTTACCTAAAAAAGTACTGCCAAATCCAGTGTTGTGAGGATTTTCCTCTATGTTTTCTTCTAAGGGTTTTATAGTTTCAGTTCTTATGTTTATGCCTTTGATCTATTTTGAGGTAATCTGCATATAGTGTAAGGTAAATGTCCAACTTCATTATTTTCCACGTGCATATCCAGTTTTCCCAGCACCATCTGTGGAAGGGTCCCCCCCGCCATCTCCCCCCCAAGGGATTGTGGCACCCTTTTTAAAGATCCTTTGGCCATACATGTCATTTATTTCTGGACTCTTTATTTCATTGATTTCTATGTCTGTTGTCTATGCCACTCAGTTGGCATGTAAAAAGTTTTAAGATCAGAAAGTGAGACCTCTAACTTTGCTCTTTTTCAAGAATTCATGGCTATTCAGGATTCCTTGAGCCTCCACATGAATTTCAGGATGGATTTGTCTATGTCTGCAAAAAGCACTGTTGGGACTTTAAAGGAATTGAATTAAATAAAACTGCCAAGTTGTTTTCCAAGGTGACTGTACCATTCATTATACATCCCCACCAGCAGTGTATAAAAACTTGTTATTCCACATAATAGCTGCCAATATTTGGGACAACCACTCTTTCATTCCAGCCATTCTAGTAGGCATGTAGTGATATCTCGTGCTTTTAGTCTGCATTCCCCTAATGACCAATGATGTTGAATATCTTCTCATGTGTTTATGTACTATCTACACATCTTCTTTTGTGAAGCATCTGCTCAAATCTTTTGTCTATTTTTTGAGTTGTTTGCTTTCTTACTATTGAGATCAAAGAGCTCTTTATAATGCTCTGGATACAAGTCCTTGATCAGATATATGTTTTGCAAAGTTTAGTCTATGGTTTGTCTTTTTACTCTCTTAACACTGTGTTTCAAAGAGCATTAAGTTTTTAATTTCGATGAAGTCCAGTTTATGAATATGTTCATAATAGATTTTGTTTTTGGTGTCTTATTTATGAAATCACTGCCAAATTCGAGGTCACTGAGATCCTCTCCTATGTTTTCTTCTACAACTTTTATAGTTTAGGTTTAATTTTTACTTTTCATTCCTTCATCTGTATTCAACTTTATAAAGTAATTTTTGGGTAGTTCCTTCAAGCAGAGCATGGGAAAGGTAAATTCCTTATCTGGAAAGGCCTTTATTATTGTACCTTCAACTCATATTTTAGCTAAGCAACTTAACAGGCATCTCTCAGCATTCTGAGTTTAGTATCCTATGGTCTTCCGGCTTCTCCAGCTGCTACAATAGTTTTTTATAATCTAATTGTAGTTTTTTTATTATAGATCATTCTTCCCTAAATAGTTTTAAAATAGTATTCTTTCATTTTGTTATGTCTAATAATTATGAACTAAAGCTTAGTTATACAATTCAGGGTCTGTGTTTCCCAAATTGTTAGATTCATGTCTCACAAACATCAGGCATCATTTCTTTGAATTCTGCTCTACTCCTTTATTTCTATTCTCACTTTCTGGAACTCTTTTCAGGCATATAATGAAACTATTCATTTCATCTTTCATACCTCTTAGCCTCTCTTTCATATTTTCTTTTGACTCTCTTACCTTTCACAGTTTATTAATTCTCCCTTCAGTTGGATTTAATCTACTTTTTAATCTTATCCACTTAGGTTTTTTAAAAAAATATTCTAATTTTTATTTAGCATTTTGTCAGCTGTTCTGTAATATGCTGTAACTACTTGAGATGTTGAAATTTTATTTAAAGTTGCCTTGCTACTTCATCAAATCAGATGTTCATTAGTTTTTGTTCCTTAGTGACAACGGTTTCTTTTAAACTTTCCATTGTTCCTTTGGTCTATGTTCTTTGTATTTTTCCAACTCTATTATGAAAATTTTCAAACACAGAAAATTAGAAGGAATGATGCAATTAACATCCAAATTCTTTCTATTTAGATTCTAAATTTTGTTTCATGTTAATTTTCTCTAACATTTTGTTTTCCATCTTACCATTTGAAACTAAGTTCAAAACTGATTGACTGAGATAGAAGTCAGAATAGTGGTTACTCTTGAAAGTGATTACCGAATTGCAGGGGGCTTGGGAGAACCCTTCGCAAGCACTAAAAACGGTCTATATCTTCATCTTCAGGGCACTTACATATGTAGAAAGTCACTCAGCTGTACACTTGAGATTTGTGTACTTTATTGTGCCTAAGTTTTATTTAAAAAAAAAAAAAAAAGACGGTAGAGAAAGCTGTGTCATGACAATTTACCTCTAAGTACTAGAAAATGTATTTCCTAAGAATAAAGATATTTTCTTACATAACTACATTCCTGTTATCACACTCAGGAAAATTAATAATTCCATAATAACATATTTAATCAACATTCACCATTTCCCATCACAACAATGCCTTTTACAGCTCTTCCACAACCTAGTCCCAAACTCGGATCACACACTGGATTTCTTTACGTCTCTTTAGTCTTGTTTAGTTGTAGAATAATACCCAATTTTTTTTTTAATCTTCTGTGACACTTGACGGAGGAACAAGGGGGAGAAGAAGGGCGGAAATGGTGGGGGAAAGGGAGAGAGGCAAACCATGAGAGACTCTTGAATGCTGACAAAAACTGAGGACTGATGGATGTGGGGGGGAGGGGGGGATGGGCATGGAGGAGGGCACTTTGGGGATGAGCACTGAGTGTTATGTAGAAACTAATTTGACAATAAACTATTTGTAAGAAAAAAAAAAAATCTTCTGTGACACTGAATCTAGGCCATCTGTCTTACAGAATGTCCAAATTCTGAATTTATCATTTCTTCATGGCACTTAACTTTTTCTTCCATCCCTTGTGTTTCTTGTAAAATGGAAGGTTTGGAAGCTTAACATTCAATACAACCATCTTTAGCAAGAATACTTCATAGATGGTAACTGTCATCCACTGAGTAAAATTTTAAGACCACCTACAAGTCCTATTTGGTGTCTTCTTAGGAGTTCTGCTGTTTTTAAGTCTTCTAATGTGCTGATAGGCTCTTTCCTTGTATATTTCATAACACGGGATTTTGAACTTGTCAGCAGGTATTATCTATATGAATTTCATGAGACCTAGATCAGCTAAAGAGGGTTTGCATTTGCTTCTACACAGTGTCTGAGTGCTATTATCTCTCCAGGACTAGTTGTTGCATTGAAAGTTCCTGGACAGCACCCATAAGTATAAATATGAATCCCACACCATGATGAGAACAGGCCTATAATTAGGAATTCAAAAGGGAAGCTTTACATTTTATCTGGACCACTGGTGAAGACAGACAAGTTTCATTGTTATTTATGTATGCTGAGTAAGTAGATTCTCTTCCAGTTCACCCTTTTGCTGAAGATAAAGTTCCTCAAAGACTCAGCTTTATGCCAGGATTTGAATTCCAACTAACTTTGTGACACCGCTGAGAGCCTAGTCTTGCATCTCCACACAATGATTGATACTCACATCCCTTTGTTGCACAAAGTGACAAATGACCTCAATGGAGGCCACTATAGCTTCCAGGCTATAGACCAGTCATCAAACTTTTTCTATGAAAACCTAGCACTACTACTAATGCTGTGTGAGGAAAAAAAGAATAAAACTACTTTGACTTCAGTTGTATTTGGAAATGAAAAGGTTTTTTATTAACTTCAAAAGCAACCACGTGCATTTTTAAAAAGTAGCGATGTATACAGATGCATTATTTATTAAAGGCAATAACAGTACTTGTATTCAAGGATTAAAGACCATCCATAAAATTGTGCAGATTTCAATTCTTTAAATGTTTCTTACAGATGATCAGCAAAAGCTATGTAGACAGAGGAAAAATATCAAGCACACTAAAAATTGAACATTTGATAATAAGTCCAAATAGGGATTTCTCAAGGGCAAAGAACAAAGCTTACCTGACACATGTTAAACAAACAAGCTCAAGTCTTGAAATTCTTTTTGATTCTGAACTAGTACTTAGGCTTGAGTCTGGTTCAAGTTTGGTAGGTAGGTTAAAATGTCAAATCTGACACTAAACACAATACAATTTGTTCCAATTAAGAGACACAGACATTGGCACCAATTAATTATGTCTTTTCCACTCCTGTTTGAAATGGATGCTTCCATTTGCATGACCACGGAGTATGGAGTGATAATATATCATTTTCAACAACTACTCTTTCTGAAAAACACAAAGAAAAAGCAATGATGATATTAAAAGTTGACTCACCACTGTCCTCTGTTTATTGGGCAGGAAGACTCTAACGATAGGTTTTTGCGGTGACTTGGGATTGCTCCGTGATACATCTGTGGGATTTTGAAAAACTGAAAGAGATGAAGGTAGCACTGAAAGGCTAGAAGAGGAAGAAGATGTAACGGTGTCCGTTGATGCAGAGCTAGAAACAGAAAAATCAGTTCCATTCCCCAGGGATTCCAATAACTGTTGTTCTCTCTGTTGGAGGGCATCTAGCTTGCTGGTGTATTCTTCATAGGCCTATAAAATAAAGTAGACTTACATTGAATCTGACTTTTTCCTGACAGTAACAAAAGGAAATGTGAAATTTAAGTCTTTGATTATAATCTCTTTATAATCTAGCTAATAGGGTTTTAAGTACAAGTTATAAAATCAGTGCTGAAAGTACTGTAAATTAATACTTTTAAATTGATAAATTTTTTGTGAAAAGACAGTACATTGCATTGAGAAATCAACAAACATATAAATGTCCATGAATGTTAATTTTAAAATGTATTTACAATATTCTGGTCACATTGCAATTGAAAAAATTTTTTAGTGTTATTTATTTTGGAAAGAGACACAGTGTGAGCAGGGGAGGGGCAGAGAGAGAGGGAAATACAGAGTCTGAAGCAGGCTTCAGGCTCTGAGCTGTCAGCACAGAGCCTTATGCAGGGCTTGAACTCAAGAACCATGAGATCATAACCTAAGCCAAGGTCAGACCCTTAACCGACTGAGCCACCCAGGTGCACCTGGTCATATTGCAATTTAACTTCCAAACCACACACCCAACATAAGGTAAAATACTATACTAAATCAAGGATAAGTAGTCTTGCTATTAAAAAAAATTTTTTTTGAGGAAACGGTAGGCATATAAAGTTTCATACCTTTCTGCCCTCCAAAGAACAGAAAGAGAAGTTGAAAAGGAAATGAGGGGTTAAATGAGATCTGTCAAAAAATAAGACTCAGGTAGTGTCAGACCTCACCATTACCACCAAAATCTCAATAGGGCTTAGAAGATGTATAACTGCCACCTTCTTTCTGAAATACGTATTAGTTAAAATACTTTGTTCTCTTCACTATGGATCTCTGATGATCCCATCAAATACTACTTAGAGAATAAAATTTTATTTGTAAAGGTGGTTTATGTCCTCCAGTCAAGAAATTCTGGTGCCATTATCCACCAGGGTATCTTTCTAAAAGTTTCATTTGATCAAAGCTATAAAGTCAAATGACTACATAAGACACAATATTCTAAAAGCAACAAGAATTTTGAAAACAGAGTGATATTGAAAGTAAAGAGATGGAATAAACTGGAAATTATAGGTCCATGGTTTTTTAGGGCAGTGGAAATCACCCTCACCCACACCATGGTCCACCAAAATTCTCTCTACATACATACAGAGATGTAATACCACAAACATTTATAAAAGGCTACAAGGGAGAATCAAAGATTTAAAAATTTCTCATCATTCATGGAGTTTATTATTACAGAGGCACAGGTGGATATATTTTAATATGTTTAAGTGTTATACATAAGAAATAAAGGACATTCTTGATACAAATTGAGAATAAGGTAGGATTATGTTAGCATTTAGATAGATGGAGTTAAGTGGGGGAAAAGAGAGTACTGTGTACAGGAGAAATTCTGCAACAAAGTAAAGAGGTAGGAAATTTTAAGGCATAGAGAGAAAACTATAGTATAGCTGCATGCAATTCAGTATCTGGGACATAGCAAGGTATCAATATATGTTTGTGGAATTAAATGAAGAATAGCAATACAGGGAAACAAGCACTAAAACTGGAAAAGTGGGTAAGGGATCACCTTGTAGAGGGTGCTATGAAGCCTGAACTTCATTCTAGAAGCAATGGAGGATTTTCAAAGATAGAGAATGAAGGAGACATTTTATTTCAATGAAGACCACTAAATGTATTTGCTATGCTAAATCTTAAAATATAATTTTGAAGCACAAAAAAGGAAAATAGTAAAATGAGCCATTGAGGTAAAGGGCCTAAACTACAACTAAAAGCCCTCTGTTTTACAACTTACTAGCTACCCTACCCTGATTCTTGAAATGTTTCATAGCATTTTGAAGCATTATAATCAAATCAATTTAAAATGATCTGAATTGTATTGCTGTGCTAGCTTTCAGTTCCAAGAGCTATTACAACGTCTCTTTCAATATGATCCACTTATCAAGCCTTTAATCAATTAGCATATACTGAGCATACATGTGCCTGGCGCTGTTTGGGGCTCAAACTACAAAAACAAAGACTGGCACAATTCCTAACCTAGGAAGATCACATACATGCAGTCTGGGAGATAAAAAATCTCCCTTGCATGTATCAAATCTTATTTACTATCCTCCGGGCAAGTACATTTACTACACAAAGTAAGCCTTAGGGAAACAGAACGCACTTAAGCAATAAATTTTATTTCTTTATCAAAGTGTTAGTCTTAATTTTTGAAAATTTACTGTTCCCACCATTGTGGATTCCAAACCATTATTTCACTGCATTTATCAATAGCTCTTTCCTTTTATTAAGTACAAAGCAGTTTCTTATTCCACCTCTATCCATCCTCACAGCTGCCATCTATCAAGGCACTTGTCTGTCTTCTGTACCTGGCTTGGCTCATTTCATCCCATTATCCTTGACGCATTCAGTGTGGATTACTCTTTTAACATCCCTGCCTTAAATTGCTCTAACATTCTTATTTCTAAAGGTATTTATTTTCATTCTACCTTCAAAGATTCAGGAGTTCCAAATGATGACAAAACCTCAGTTTGGAACCTTCCCTGTCCCAAACACACCTTCTCAAGTTTCCATCTTGCTACATTAATCTGTTCACGATCACCATTAACCCCTTAAATTTGGGTCTGGACTGTCTTACTGCCCCTACTTCATGGGTCACCATTTCAATAATGCCACTAGTAACATATTTGATGTTCTAATTTTTTTACCAACTTGTTTGTCAAATACAAATCTTTAGTAAATTCTAACCATTCAATTATTCCATTTTTTTTCTCTCAGGTTACCACACACTGCTAGAGAAGACAGTGAGATGGGGTGCCTTGGTGGCTCAGTCGGTTAAGCGTCAGACTTCAGCTCAGGTCATGAGTTCGTGGTTCGTGGGTTCGAGCCCCACATCAGGTTCTGTGCTGACAGCTCAGAGCATGAAGCCTGCTTCAGATTCTGTGTCTCCCTCTCTCTCTGCCCTTCCCCCACTCATGCTCTGTCTCTCTCTGTCTCAAAAATAAATAAACTAATAAAAAAAAAGACAGAAGTAAGACAAGGCCAATTAGTTCCATTATCAATTTGTGGAAATTAGTCCTTTACACTAGTACCTGAAAATGTTTACTTATTTCTAACATCATCATATGACATTTTTCACAATACTTACTCCAACCTTTTTTCTTTTTTTTTACAGAATGGTCTTTATTTATTTTTTTATTTTACAAATAGTTTATTGTCAAATTGGTTTCCATATAACAACCAGTGCTCATCCCCACAAGTGCCCTCCTCCATGCCCATCTCCCCTCTCACCCCCACATCCATCAGTCCTCAGTTTGTTTCTCAGCCTTCAAGAGTCTCTCATGGTTTGCTTCTATTCCTTTCCCCCACCATTTCCCCCCTTCTTCTCCCCCATGGTCCTCAGTTAAGTTCCTCCTAATCCTCCTATAAGTGCAAACATGTGATATTTGTCCTCTGCCTGACTTATTTCGCTAAGCATAACAACACCCTCAAGGACCATCCATGTTGCTACACATGGCCAGATTTCATTGTTTCTCATTGCCATGTAGTATTCCATGGTATAGATAAACCACATCTTCTTGATCAATTCGTCCATGGATGGACACTTAGGCTCTTTCCATGTTTTAGCTATTGTTGAGAGTGCTGCTATGAACACTGGGGTACATGGGCTTCGATGCCTCAGCATTTCTGGATCCCTTGGTAAATTCCTAGCAGTGCTATTGCTGGGTCCTAGGGGAGTTCTATGGTTAGTTTCCTGAGGAACCTCCACACTGTTTTCCAGAGGGGCAGCACCAGTTTACATTCCCACCAACAGTTTAGGAGGGTGCCCGTTTCTCCACATCCTCGCCAGCATCTAGAGTTCTCTGATTTGCTCATTTTAGCCACTCTGACTGGCGTGAGGTGGTATCTCAGTGTGGTTTTGATCTGTATTTCCCTGATGAGGAGGGATGCTGAGCATCGTTTCATGTGAATGTTGGCCATCTGGATGTCCTCTTTGGAGAAGTGTCTGTTCATATCTTCTGCCCATTTCTTCACTGGGGTGTTTGTTTTTCAGGTGTGGAGTTTGGTAAGTTCCTTATAGATTTTGGATATTAACCCTTTATCTGATATGTCATTTGCAACTATCTTTTCCCATTCTGTCGGTTGCCTATTAGTTTTGTGGGTTGTTTCCTTTGCTGTGCAGAAGCTTTTGATCTTGATGAGATCCCAATTGTTTATTTTTGCTCTTGATTCCCTTGCTTTTGGGGATGTGTCAAGTAAGAAGTTGCTGCGGTGGAGGTCAAGGAGGTTATTTCCTGCTTTCTCCTCTAGGATGTTGATAGTTTCCTGTCTCACATTCAGGTCCTTTATCCATTTTGAGTTTATTTTTGTGCATGGTGTGAGAAAATGATCTAGTTTCATTCTTCTACATATTGCTGTCCAGTTCTCCCAACACCATCTGTTAAAAAGGCGGTCTTTTTTCCATTGGATATTCTTTCCTGCTTTGTCAAAGATTAGTTGGCTGTATACTTTTGGGTCCACTTCTGAGTTCTCAATTCTGTTCCATTGGTCTATGGGTCTGTTTTTGTGCCAATACCATACTGTCTTGATGATGACAGCTTTGTAGTAGAGGTTAAAATCTGGGATGGTGATACCTCCCGTTTTGGTTTTATTTTTCAGTATTACTTTGGCTATTCAGGGTCTTTTGTGGTTCCATACAAATTTTAGGATAGTTTGTTCTAGTTTTGAGAAGTATGCTGGTGCAATTTAGATTGGAATTGCATTGAATGTGTAGATTGCTTTGGGTAGTAATGACATCTTAACTATATTTATTCTTCCTATCCATGAGCATGGAATGTTTTTCCATTTCTTTGTGTCTTCTTCAATTTCCTTCATAAGTTTTCTATAGTTTTCATCATACAGATCTCTTGTATCCTTGGTTAGGTTTATTCCAAGGTATTTTATGGTTTTTTGTGCAATTGTGAATGGGATCAGTTTCTTGATTTCTCTTTCTGTTGCTTCATTGT